TGTACCAGTCAGCTGTGGCTTGCTCCCAGTTAGACTAAATCTTGTGGGACAACTGTAGCCCGTGTAGAAGGTCTGTAAGAATCTCTTAATGCTGAACCATGTGGCAGACTGTAATCAGTCATTGAGGCAAACCAGTTCAGGGTAATGGAGTAGAATTCGGGTCCTCCCAGCTGAGTTTCCTCAGGTCTGTGTACTTTTTGGCTAGTGCACCTTCTCTCATTTAACTGTGCCCTGCCCACTGTCTTTCTCCAGGGGTCCTCGTACCTCTGTTCTGGTCTTCATTCTCAGGTGGAAACTGGAGGAGTAGACTATGCTTGGGTCTCATTTCAGGCCACCATCCTCCTAGTACTTTAGTAATGGAGTCTTAGCCTTATCTTAGCCTTACACCACAGCAGGATGGCTAGGGTGTGGGATTCAAGGGTGGAAGAGGGGAGGCTGGGGGAGGCTGGGTCTTACATTTTGGGATTCAAGGGTGGAAGAGGGGAGGCTGGGGGAGGCTGGGTCTTACATTTTGGGATTCAAGGGTGGAAGAGGGGAGGCTGGGTCTTACATTTTGGGATTCAAGGGTGGTAGAGGGGAGGCTGGGGGAGGCTGGGTCTTACATTTTGGGATTCAAGGGTGGTAGAGGGGAGGCTGGGGGAGGCTGGGTTGTAGTAATAGGGGGTGGCGGGGCTGCGTCCCCAGCACCCCGGCTGCCTGCTCAGCTAGCTTATGCCCCGAAATAACAACACACAAACTGTATTCATTTAATCATTGCTTGGCCCATATCTATCTAGCCTCTTCTAGGCTAACTCTCGCACCTGGACTAGCCCATTTCTAATCATCTGTGTGTAGCACCCCAAGGTGCGCTTACCGGGGAGATTCTAGCCTAGTCCATCCTGGGTCGGAGCTTCATCTCGGGAGCGGGACATGGCGTCTCTCTCTGAGGCGTCTGCTCCCGAGAGAGCTGTGGAGTCTCAGACCTCACTTCCTCTTCCTCCCAGCGTTCTGTTCTGTTTACACCTCCCACCTATCTTCTAACCAATAAAATGGGCCAAGGCAGTTCCTTTATTAGCCAATGACCTTCCTCCATCACTGGGTCTTACATTTTGGGATTCAAGGGTGGTAGAGGGGAGGCTGGGGGAGGCTGGGTCTTACATTTTAAAAGGAGCCTTAACGAGTGGCACGCATGGAGCCCACTTTTCACAGTGCAGCAGCCTCTAGACCAGAGGCCACCACAGCCAGTCCTCTCCCCTCTGCTGCTAGCCATTGCATTCAAAGACAGTAGGTCCTTCTTCCTGGAAATGTATATAAGTATAACGTTTTCCTTTCCATAATATTAATGGAATGATTATGAATTCTAAAATTAACTTGAAAATATGACCTCACTCTCTGGAAAAAAAATCTTTAAGCGAATTCAGCTGTTTGGAACAAGGCCACAAACCTGAGATGACAAATGAGAGCAGCAAATCAAGTACGAAACTGTGAAGCCGACCCCTGCCTTTCAACAGTGCTGCCTTGGTGCTCCTCCACCCAACGGCACAGTAACCGAAAATGCCGGTGACATCTAGACAGCCCCAGCCCCAGCTGCAGGCAGCCAAGGGAAAGGATGGGGCAGCAGCATCATTGCTCAGCAGGGCACTCTGTGCCTGTCAGCAAGAGGAGATCTCAGCTGAGTCTGGGCCCACTCTCTGCTGCAGAGCAGTCTGCTCTCCTGGGCCGTCCCATGTGGAAGGACCAGGTTGTGGGTAAGAGTGGTCAGATGTTCTCACATTTGTGTGTTCTGTACACAAATGTTCAACACACGATAAGCAAGACAGTCATGTACTGTAGCAAAAGAGTAAACAACCTTGAGTTTCATGTGTCATCGCATGGTGTGAAAGTAAAGAGATCTTTGATAGTTGTGGCTAAAATGGGTTTGGGGGCCAGGAAGTGGTGGGGCACACCTTTAATCCCAGCTCTCAGGGAGCAGAGACAGCTGGATCTCTGAGTTTGAGACCGACCTGGTCTACAATGTGAGACCCAGGATAGCCAGAACGCAAAGAAACCCTGTCTGAAAAAAACAAAAAAGGAGGGGGGGCTGGGAAGGTTGATTCAAGTCCTATTGGATCAGAGCCACAAAACCTATGTAAAGTCTAAGTGAGTGATAGGAAGAGTGGCAGCACCCTCGTAGAGGAAATGGCCTGGAAGGACAGGAACAAGAGCGGGCATGTGCTGTGTCAACATGATCGCTCACAGCTGAAGATGCCTAAGATTGATCATGAGAGTTGGGTTGGTATGTGGACTCCTGTTTTAGAGACCTTGCAAAGCAAGTGAGACATAAAGTCTAGTTTTACATAGTTCTCTTGTATCCAGCATCAGGGACATAGTAATTTAGCAAGATACTATTACATCAGGGAAGGGCTTTTGATAATGATCAAATGAGAAGTCACTGAAGACTTGAGTGGAAAGGTGATATGTTATGAAAGTGTTTTGGAAAATTGACTAATGCATGTGCTCAGCAGATTAAAGAAGAAAGACTGGCTTCTGGGGTTAGAGTTGGGTTATTTTGTTAATCTAGAGAGGGTGGTAAGAGTTTAGAGCTGGTCAAACTAGGTTAAAAGGACTCCGCATGAACCTCAAACATTATGCTGAATGAGACCACACACACACACACACACACACACACACACACACACACACATTGTACGTGGTTCTGTTTCTATGAAATAGCTTTATAGGGACAGAAAGTAGATTATCAGTTCTAGAACTTGGGAGAATAGATTAAGGGGGTGGTGGAGACTTAACCTCTACATATAGAAGCTGCGGGGAGGGCTGTCTGTAGTGAAGTGTACAACTCCATAAATAAACCAAGGTTTAAATTTAAATAGATGGATCCTGTGGTGTGTGAACTATATCTCAATAAAGCTGTTAATTCAAAAAACGGGAGAGGAAATGAATGAAGCCTGATGAATGGCCGGGGATCTGGGTTTGATGGAAGTGGGTCAGTCACTGTCATGTCCAGCTTGGCTGTCAGTGAAATAACACACTTGCTACTAACACTCTTTTTACTTGAAATTTATGCTTTCATAATACCCCAAGAAATATATAGATATGATTATCATCAGTGAAAATTCAGTAGTATGATTTTTTTTGTCACTGGATACAGCTATCCTAATATTCTAGCAATAGCTAAAGTAATATTCAAAAATTTAACCTTCAGATAGCCTAAAAGCAAAATGGAGTGGCTTCTTCAGAGGATAAACTGATTCCTATCAGTAATAATAAGTGAAACATTAGTAAAAATGGAGTTGTGTATCGGGTGCTGTGAGACTAGATATTAGAAATTAATTTTCAAAGGGTCATTAGTTTCCCCGGGTGGGATTAAATATGCATCACTGACCATATCAAATTGGTGAAATATTTCAGGAGCCTTCAGAATCTTCATATACTTGTTTTGATGACTTCTCTATAGAGAAAAACTTAGGTCATGATTCTCAGCCTCTTCAGATCCTGGATGAGAACCCATATCACCCTGGGGGTCGCACATCACCTGCTCTTACCAGGTTTTCAGACCATCCTAAATCTTTGGGCCTCTCAGAAGGGTTGTCACCACAATGCAGAGTCGGTGCTGTGACACGGGGGGCAGTGTTTGGCTGGGCACGTGTGTATCATGTGTTGGTGTTCGGCATGTGCCTTACTGGGGTTATTCGAGGTAACAGTCCCAGGAAAACGGAACTGAAAGAGGTCTAATATACCTACAGCTCCCGTAGGTTATGGAGAGAAGAGAGACGAAGAGTGGGAGAGGCTGGCCTAGCTCAGAAAACAGCCATCATAATCTATCCTCTCTGTTAGGAAGAGAGCCATCCTTAAAGATTTTATAATCACTTTTTGTATTTAGTGCAAAATGATATATATTTAATACTGTAGAAAGGCAAATACACAATACACAAAGTGGCAACCCAGCATCTCTGCCTTACTTCCTCCCCTGAGTTAACCATTGATTTCATCTCTTTTCCTGATATCAGAATAAGCATATAAGCAGTCATTAATGGTGCAGAAATAAAGGGCAGACCTTTGTCTTACTGGTGTGTGAGGTGTTGAAGTCTTTGAAGCTCATGAATATTCATTAGGTGCAGAGTGAGATGATTGCCATGGTTCCAAACTCACAGACATTTGCAGGCCAGCAAGTAAAATGACAATAGGAGGAGCCAACAGGCACACACATGGCTCATGGTGGGACCAGCTAGCTGCCTGTGCACAGCCCATGCCTTGTCAAGAGCATGGAACAAGGCTCATCACCATGCTGGAAATCAAAAGTAGACAAAAATTGTTTTGTTGTCGCTATTGTTCTCAATGTGAAAACCCCCGTTGTAAAAAAAATTTTTTTTTTTTTTTTTTTTTTGGTTTTTCGAGACAGGGTTTCTCTGTAGCATTGGTGCCTGTCCCGGAACTAGCTCTTGTAGACCAGACTGGCCTCGAACTCACAGAGATCCGCCTGTCTCTGCCTCCCGAGTGCTGGGATTAAAGATGTGCGCCACCACCGCCTGGCTCCATTGTAAAAATTTGATTACTACAAACTGAAAATGGCCCTCCAACAGGTTACATCCTCTTTAAATTATCGCATTTACCAGCAGCAAGAGGAGTCCGTTCTTCTGTATTTGCTGAGTGTTCGGGAGAGAGAGTGGAGATGAGTCATATTGGTTCACGAGGGGAAAGCTGTGTGCTGACTTAATTACTACATCCTACTCTGAACTTGGTCTCCTCAAGTGGGGCTCATCGTGCCCCACACCACACTGCAAAAACAGAGGAGCACAAAAAGAGCTTGGCCATCTTCATTTGCAAGCTCCTGAGGATAAACTGGTTCCTTCGGAGCAAAGTCATGTGCCCTTGAGCTGGGAGATTATAATTACAGGTTTCCTGTTGTGTAAAGGAAAAACACCCCTCCCCTCCCCTCCCCTCCCCTCCCTCCCTTCCCTTCCCACATCTGCAAGACTTGTGTTCTCAATGCTGTGCCTTCTTGTCCTTTCCTCTTTCCACAGGTGATAGAGGGAAAGCTGGCACCGTTCTTGGGCAAGGTCATTAAATTCGCCACCTCTCATGTCTACAGCTGCAGTCTTTGTAGCCAGAAAGGGTTCATCTGCGAGATCTGTAACAATGGCGAGATCCTCTATCCGTTTGAGGACATTTCGACAAGCAGGTACAGAATGTCTCTCGGACTACGGAAATGTGTCTGAGTATCACGTGTGCTTTGTCAGGGAGACACCCAGCTGCCATCAGATTCTCTTGTGACTAGAGAACAGTCTGCTCCTGTGCTCCCGTCTATTTCCAAGCCTTTCTCTCCATCTTACGCGGGGGTGGGGTGGGGGGGGGTAACAGAGCTATGAAGGAACGCCGCCTTGCTCTGGCTTAGCAGGCAACAAACTGTGCTGCATGTTCAGATTTAGTCCTGGAGTGGAGTGTGGAGGAGAAGACTCCCACCCAGCTTGCCAGAGCCAAACAATTAGCATTGGGAATTATTAGAGAGACTGTCTCAAAAAACAAACAACAAACAAAAAAACCAGCAACAACAGAAAGAAATGGGAAATGGTCTCCTCAAAGGAAGGCCAAGCCTAGATTGACTGCTAGAACTGCAGCTTAAGGCCTGGGTGAGGAGCACGTTTTCCATAGACACAGCAAAGATGAAAGTTTTAGGGCCTGAAGAGAGAGAAATGGAAGGTCATGAGGCTTAGTGTTCTAACCAAAGTCATGTTTGGGCATCAGCACCTCCCTAGTGGATGGACGACTTCCCACTAACTTGGATCAATTTTTGCTGTGACTTCTCTAGACTCACAAAATAATACGTACCATTTTTCCTTTCATCCAAGAACATACTAGAAATACTCTGTGTGTGTGCTCTGGCTTCTCTGGCCACAAATGTTATGGCTCATTTTCACCCTGCAGCGCTCACTACATTGCGGCTCAGGACGGAAGATGAGGCATGTAACCAGGCAAGTGGAGCAGAGCTGTCATGCTGAGAGTTGACTCGGCCCTTTGGCCGCTCTTTAAACCCAGAGACTATTTGTAAACATCCAAGAACACACATCAGCCCATACATAGAAGGATCTACAAATACACAAGTTTCCTGAGCATGGGTCCTTTGCGCGTAGTATGTAGATTAGATCCCTTTTTAGATACACACTCTTAAGATAAGAACTTATACACAAATGTTCACAGCAAAAGTACCTATAATATCATAAAAAGGAAACAACCTAAATGCTTATCAGCTGATGAAGAAACAAAACTTGATGTATGCTCCAATGAACGATGATTTTGCCTTAAAAAAAATTACGTGAAATTATTGCATGCCACAATATAGACTTCACAGAAACTGGATGCAAAAATCCACACTTTGTGTGATTCCCTTTTTATGGGATGCCCCAAATAAGCAGATCCAAACTAGACTTGTAGTTGCCTGGGGCTTCAGAGAGGGGTGAAGGTGGTGACTTCTAATGAGCACAGAGGTTTTATGATACAAATATGGTAGGAGTAGATGGCAGTGATGGTCACATGATTTGTGATTGCTAAAACTCATGAATCAGAGACCTTGGGGACCAAACTTTATGGCACATGAGTGACATTGTGATAAAAATTAATAGTAAAAATTAAGATGCTTCTAAATGAATAAGCCCTATTTTGGGTCACAGAATAGATCTCAGTAAGCTTTAGGAAACTAAAAGTGCACCGTGTGTGTTCTCTAGCCCAGAGATTAAAATTCACAGTAGGAAAAGGGCTGGAGACCCGTGACATGTCAGAAAATCAGCAGTGCGCTTCCAGAAGACTCCTGGGTTAAAGGGGCAGTCACAGGGAAATGTGTGAAGTATGTTTAAGTGAATGAAAATAAAATATGGGCATGTGTAATGAAACTAAAGTAATGTTAGGCCAGCAGGTTTGTTCAGCTTCTGGTCCATGGCCTGTGGACTGCATGAGGCTGCATGAAGCCAGGACAACTATGAACGCCGCCCAGCACAAAGTCGTGAGCTTCCTTAAACATTATGAGAGTTCTCTTTGAATTTGACTGGTTCTTGAACATGGACTTTGCAGATGACAATGTCATATCCCAATGTCAGAAGGTTAGATACATCTGGCTTAGTGAAACTTAGAGCTATTAACATGTATAGTTGACAGAAGGGAAAAGGATCTCAATCAATAGTCTAAATGCATATGTCAAGAAACTGAAGAACAAACAACCCCAAACAAGCTGAAAGAAGAATATAGATCTTAAAGATTCAAATAGACTTACAACAAGACAGAAAATGATTAATTTTAAAGCCTCCCAAACAAAGGCCACATGACTTCACCTTTGAATATTTAAAAGATAATAATAGTACTTCACACAAGAACAAAGGAGCCAGCCTTCAAAACAAGGAATTGACTTCACACACACGTCCTTAGCGTGTATGGTAGAACTTCAAGGAGAAACAAATACATGTGCTCTGACAGAGGTGTTAGTCCTCTCGAGGACAGCTCCAGAAGGCAGAGACTCCGTGCAAGTGTGTACTTAAACCAAACAGCACCGTTTGGCACAGGAGCTAACTGACATCTACATACCTGCTCAGACAACAGAAGAAGGCATGTTCTGCTCAAACACACGTGGGGCGTTCACAAGAGACAACATTGTGAGGCGTAAAACACACCTGAACAAATTCTAGCTACTAGAAATCATTCAGAGTCTGTTCTCAGCTCATGTACTGAGTAGATATCAGTGATGGGGGAGGGGATGGCTTAGTGAGTAAGAGTGCTTTCTGTGCAAGCCACCTGATTTTGAATTCCCCAGTACCCACATAAAACCTGGCCTGGCCATGTGTACCTTTAACCCCAGTGCATGGGGTTGGAGGCGAGCCAAGATAGACAAATCCTGAGAACTGTCTACGAGCCTAAATGATAAGCCTCAGGTTCAATGAAAGATCTGTCTCGAAACAATAAAATTGACAAAGGCAGAGGAAAATAAGTATCCGTTGTTCTTCACTGGCCTCTGCATGCATGCATATAGATTCATGTTCCCACATACACATGTGCACCTATACCCCTGCACTATTGACATCATTAACAGAAAGATGTGGGAAGAATCCCAGAGCTTTTGAAAATGAAACAAAAAGCTTTGAAATAACGTGAGTTGAATATATTTGTTCATATGAAAGCATGCACATGGATGTTTATAGAAACTTTAATTATCCAAAACTGTAAGCAATCATGAGCCCATGAGTAGATGCATGGGTAAACAAATTGATATGTTGATACAGTGGCGTATTAGCTCCCTATAAAAGAAATAAGTGAACAGGCCACAAAATTCTAAGACATTCTCAAAAATGGGAAGTTGTAAAGACAGTAAAAAGATCACTGGTTGTCAAGACTCTGGACTGGGGAACGGTCACTAGGAAAAGCAGAATCTGTGACTCTGGAACTCCAAAGGCGTCTGGAGTGTTGGGAGCTTTGTCCATTGGAGTGGTGATTCCAAGATCAAAGTGGCATAGTTTAAACAAGCTTTCTTAGAATAGAAAACTTGGGAAGAAGTGCAGTTTCCCCTCACTGCATTCACCGCATCCCTCTCCTGCTTCCCCGCTAACATAGCGTGCTGCATCTGTTGGAGTTAGTAAATCAGCAAGTCATCATAAGTTAGGAGCCGTTGGTTGTTTTGTTTTTTTCACAGTTTCTTAGTTTTTGCTGAATCTGTTTTCTATCTTAGGATAGTACATTATATTTCATTTTCATATCTACCTAGACTGAGCTATGACAGTGTCAAAGATTTTCATGATTTTGATGATCTTGACAGTTTTGAAGGATACCATTGGGTATGTATGTCTGTTTTGGATTTTTGTTGTTGTTAAGATTAGTAGACTAAGGGCAGGCATGGTTGGGCATACCTGTGATCTCAGAAACTTGGGAGGCAATGCAGGGGATTGCCACAAGTTCAAGGCAGTGTAGTCCTGAGCTGCATAACAAGTCCCAATAGCCTGGACAACATACAGCAAGAACCAATCTCTAAGCACAGCAATGACAAGAACCAATCTCTAAGCACAGCAATGACAAGATTAGCCTGGCTTTAAACATTTGTGGTCGGGGGTGGGAAAGACTGTGGAAATAAAGTACCATTTTCATCACATGTGACAAGCACATCACCATCATGGTTTATCACTGCAGACTCTGTACCAGGTTTCTCTTCTGTGAAGTTACTCTTCTTCCTCTCCTACCATCCTCTTTGAAAGGAAACAAATGGAATTCTCAGTAGATTTCACTGTCCTGGGAGCAGAACATGCCAAAACTATTTGAAATCCTTCTTGGGAGATTTGTCTTTTTTCCCATTTATTCACTTCTCCACTGGTGTGCTCTTCTTGTCAGTGTGAATTCATGAACAGCTATTTTGTACCTTTAGTTGTATTGTGTTGTTTACTTTTTTAGCTTTGCATTCAAACTCTGCATTAGCTCCAGTGTCTCAGCCATTGTGGGTTTTGTTTGTTTGCTGTTCAGCATTTTCTTCCTCTCTGGCTGTTCGAGATGATCCAGACTCGTGCTTTAACAGCTGTTACCCTCATCCAAGCCGTGGCCACATGCCCAAGGAGCCCTTCTCCTTTCACTGAGAATGAACATAGAGGCCAAGATCTGAGCATGAGGTTTTAACAGTTTTAAATGCCACAAGTCCCTAGACTTGTCCTCTTGACAAGGATTGCACACAGAATCTTCTGGAAGATTTATACCTTCAAGGATATTATATGAAAGAATATATTCAAAGATAGTATGACTGTCAAGGCTCTGAATTCTCACCAAAATGGCCTCCTTACCCCACATGAAAGGCCTTTCTCCAGTGGTACAGAACCTGTAGCTCTTCAGAACCCCCTCTCTTTGCTGCTCACAGGCAGCTCTCCCTGCATGCAAAGTGTGTGATTCAGAAGGGACCTTGACTGTCTTTCCTGGAATCTAGGCTGGTAATGTTCTCAGGAACCCATTGCACTTCCTCTTGGTGCTCCGCCTCCAGTTAAACCCTGAAAGCAGTTTACACAAGTCTATAGGAAAAGACAAAAGAAACAGTCATATTTACCAAGGAAAACATTGAGTCAGAAATACATGCCAGAAATAAATTAAATAATTTGAATAATGAGGTCAATATGTTACTGAAATTTTTATGAATGAAAGAATGTGCTATATGAGATTTGTCTCAAAATA